TGATTCCAGTGTTTTCTGATGCCCTCTTCCTTTTTTGATTTATTTCCATTCATGGAGTTAGCAAGACCGGAATAAGTGATAGTCACTTGGACATAGGTCTGGTGAATAGGGAGGGTGGGGGAAAAGGTCCCATCCAAGGCTCAATAATTCATTGCGAGTGACCAATGATGTCTGAGGCCTAGCGTTGTCTTGGTGGAATACAACACCCTTCCATTCATAACTCTTCAGCATGTTTTCTAAATTCGATGTTACTAAATCCGTTGGAAAGCTGAATTGTTACTCTTTAAAGCCTGTAGTTTTATGTTTTTTTTTTATTTAATGCCTACATAAGCAATGTAGGCAAACAAAAACAAAATGGAAACAAAAACTCCTTATAGGTTTTTATTTTGTATTTCATTTGTGGTTTGTTTACGAAGCTCCTGTTCATGTAATCTTGTGTACTTTATGTGACCCTAAATTCCTGCTAATTTTCTTGTAGATAGCTAAAGTCGTATTGAAGTTATAGCATTTTTTGTGATTTTCGAAAAAAAAAAAATATGTGAGGACCCAAACATTAAGCCTTGGAACATAGCCGAGCTTGTGCAAATGGTTTTCTAGACGGCACATTTAGGGCCATAGCAATCTCTCGCACTGATTGGGTGGGATTTTGATCAACAATGGCCTTAACATTGCTCGTTTCAATTTCATGTGGGCGACCAGACCGTTGAGTTGATGTCAAAATTTTCTGAATAAAATTTGGCAAACTAATTTTGACAGATTAGTTCGGTTAAGGCATCATCCCCATAAACACCACAAATATTTCTATGAGCTGCTGTAGCAACCTCACCTTTTTTAAAAATAATACAACAAAATATGACGATAATGAATGATATTTTATATTCATATATTGATTATTTCATATTCACAGTGCAATAGCAAACACAATACTAAGCTAGTTTCAACAAGAGTTAACAGATATTGTTGTAGACATATTACAAACAGGATAAACAATCCACATTAGGGACTAATTAATCAGTTGAGAAGTGTATCTTAGTAACATAAAAATAAACAAAAAACCGAAAGGACTTATTGCGCAACCCAAGTACATGCATTAAATTGAACGATAGGCATATGAAAATTAAATATATAAGAATAAATAATAAGGATGGAAATAAAAATAATGTAGTGTTTCATTTTTTCTAATTGGAGAAAAATATACATATATCTATTTTTCGAGGAGAAGAATAGTTGGGGTGATCAGTCAAATAAGAAGGCAAAAATAAATATTATCATTTATTTTTGCCTTCTTATTTGACTGATCACCCTAACTATTCTTCTCCTCATTATTCACGACAGTCAACTATTTAACCACTATTATATATTTTTTTATTTGACTTATTTCTGTGTATCTGTATATTTAATGTATTCTTAAACAATTTTGTAGATCTCGATAAGACATTTTCCAATCCCAGTTGACCATCGATATAATCAAGAATATTTTCAATATAATGTTGAGAATGCCAATTCTGTTCCCATTGATCATACATAAATATAATAGGAACATGGGGGTTAGTATCCTTAGGTGTTACACACAGTTCAGATATATTCTCATGTGGCAACGTTTACAATGACAAAAGGGAACTCCAGCGACCCTTAGCAGTAACTGTAACATATGATGGTTATGTTTTCAGCCCAGCAGGTGGCGCGGCTAAAACAGCTCCGGTCGTTTGTTATTGCTTTTTGCTTGTCCTAGCAGTAGCCAACTAATATTTATTGAAGCTAAAAACATATTTTAACACATGTATGCTTTTTTTATATACCTAACTAAATAGGGGCGTGAAACATTTCTTCAGCACTAACCAGTTTTTCATTCCACTCATCAAAATAATTTAAATGTTTTTTTCGAAAAATATATACTCTAAATATTTATTTTAAAATATAATCTTGACTCATCAAAGGACCTAAAAGTAAAATAAAAACATCTATTTTGTATTAAAATTTCAATTAAATTCTATAAAAATGGTATGAAATGATTGAATTCTCAAATTATGAGTGTACAATGATAAGATAAATAATTTTGTTACTAGTGTAAGATCTGTTTTCATTATTAGTGCTGCGTCAAATTGTTTTTCATGAATATTAGTCCTTGGTACAGGTCCCTTTTAAGCAAATTATAAACATCCAACTGAAATTTCGCTTATAACTTCAGCTCATCGTAACTTTTATTTTATTTACGAAAATTATCGGAATTGGGGTGTTTTCAATCTGAAGGTCCACAAACTTTGTTTATTTAATTAGGGACTAAAAACTAGTAATTCTCTATGTTGCTTCGTAAAAACTCGTAATGTTGCTTTTCCACAAAAAGTTGGGAAAAAAAGAAGACATATTGAGGCCGTTTAGCGTGATTCCCCAATTGTCAAAATAACGAGATCATATAGGCCAAAAGGCCCAATATTTTTGTAGGCCACTTTTTTTATCGATTTTGTGATCAAATTATCTTACCATCCAAGTGGAAAGCAAATCTATAGTTGTGAGTTTTTAGTAGCTAATTAAGTTTGCCGTTCTCCAGATTGAAAACGCCACAATTCCGAGACTTTCGTAAATAGGATATTTGTAGGTTACGATGAGATGAAGCTATTTACGAAGTTCAGCCGGATGTTAATAATTTGATAAAAAGGGTTCTGCACCACGGACTGTTTGTATGCCCAGTTACATTCGTATTGTTTCAGTCCGTTCGCGTTCCACACTTACATTTGACCTGGGTCATCAACTGTTGGAGGGGGGTGAAGAGGGGTTGGCTGAGAGAGCTTTTGCCATTAAGTAACTGAGACAGGTATAAGTGGTTGCTGGATGAAACTATAAAAGGTCGCGGGGCCACTGCCGTTTTAACCTTCTTGGAGGATTATAGGGATGGGTGGTGCTGGATAGGGATTGTCCAAAGGGATTGGATGGTGGGTAAGGTTCTGGTGAAATTTGGAGAATTTCGCTGGAATAAGATCTAGGACAAATGGATATTAAGGTCATGTTGTAGGGTTTTGTTGGTTACATAGAAAGGAGCATCGACTATTGTTCGTAGGAGTTTGGATTGGAAGGATTGGATGCGTTTGATGTTAGAAAATTTTGCTGTTCTTCTAAGTTCAAGTCCGTAAGTCCAGATAGGTTTCAGTATTGTCTTGTAGATTAATATTTAATTTTCCAAAGAGAGTTTAGATTTTCTATTTAGTAGTATGTATGGTTGGCAGTATCGTCGTTGCCAGTATAAATATGTATATTCTTTCCTTTCCACCATTTACAATTCTTCCCCTATCTACTGTCTGACAACTCAATTTTGTACAATTCATAATTTTGTTTACAGTATTTTCTATATCTGGCCGTTTCATATATATATATATATATATATTGATTACAATCCTTAAAAAAAAAAAAAATTACCTAATTCAATTCTTTTTTAAGAATATTTCGTAAATATTCACATACATTAAATTACTTACTCTCTTTATACGTATTTTTACAACAGTTGTTTAGTAATTTTTTTGTTGTTATTTTGTCTTTCTAAGCCCAAATGAAGGACAGAAACTTAGGCCGATATATCGGCACAAAAAAAATGTGTATATGTGTTTGTATTTCTCACTGACTGGAAACACACAGCCTATCTTCCCGAGCATATTACCTAAATTCAACTATTTCTTCAGTATTACAAAATATAAAATTGTATAAAAAATATAGTTCACATTAAAATGTCTTGAATAAGCTTGGATTTATTATATACGGAAGGCTACCGCATCTTTAACTGGGATAGAAATTTAGCAACGCTATTTTTAATGAATTCCTCTATTGAAAATCATAAAATACTTATTTGTTTAAGTTAATTTGTTTGGGTGATATTAGGTTGTCTCAACATTTCGAGAAGAAGTTTCCAGACACCCTAAATAGAAAATCTATTTTGCTGGGGAGCTCTTTAATATTCTTTATTTTTGACAATGAAAACTCCTAGGTATACATCAATTGGTTTATTGGTTCTGTTACATGTTTCGGAAAAATTATACCCTAATTTTACAAAAAACAACAGTAAATGACAAAACAGACACCAAACATTTGGGAACACACTATACAGATATCTTAAATAAAATTAAAATATAGTGAAACTGGAATGCAGCTATGTAACAAACAGTCATTGAATGACAATAGTAAAAGATTAAATACTTAAATCCAACGATTAATAATAATATCTCCCACAGTAGGCATCCAATTATTATTAGAATCCAATCAGATCTAGGAATATTGATAGTCCAGACAGTATATTTTTATTATATTTATAACACATAAATTTCAAATCATGACAAAGGAGCACACCAGGCTTTAGGTAATTATAACATTTTATGTAACAACATAACATTAACATGTATTATTGCATGTATTCTTTTTTAACTAACTCCTTTCTAGCCACACATCGCTATGAAAGTATGGAATTTTGAAGGTGGGAATAATTTTCCGGAAACGTCAACTTGACATGTAAATCAACAAATAAACCAATTGTTTGTATAACTGTATGATCTCATTGCCAAAAATAAAGAAAATTAAGATGTTTTTTGTTCTCTATAGGTGATATGAGTTCTAAAAAATTACAAAATGTTCTGTTTTTAAATGAAAAAATAAATTAATGATATTTTCTCTGTATTATTTTAATATAAAAAAAAATATGCAAAACAATATTTAGAGATCACTTTCGCGTAAGCCATAAACTGGACATTTAAGAAATGAGATTAATAAATGTATTATCAGCACTTTAAATAATGCTAGGGTGTTAGGGAGTGAAAAAGTAGCGTGGTGTAGTGTGCTCGTTATCTACCCCCTCCCTAGCTACCCCCCCCCTACTAATGGACAATTTATCTGGTCCGGATTAAGGGGGGGGCTTAACAAGGTCCTCTCTGGGGGTCCTCTCCCCGGCCCCCGGGAATTATGTTCTTCACTTCGGCCATAGCTTTAGTTTTAATTGGATCATTTTAATGATTGTACAATACTCACTTCTTTTGGTCTGACTTAAACCTCTTGTCGGCGATGGTGGTGTGCCCCACCTTGTCCAGCTCGTTCTTGACCTGGGAGCAGTGCCAGGCGGTCAGGGTGAAGAAGACCACGTTGGCGATCATGATAAGTCCCTCGGGGCAGATGAAGAAAGGCAGGATCCCGTAGGTCCCCTCTGAAAGAACAAAGTTACATCCTGCAGATCTCTCTCAGCAACAAGTCAACAATAAATAGTGTTATCAATGGAAAAAAAAACATTAGTTACTGTTATGAATGAATGGATCAATGAAGTACAAGTCAATAGTGTTTATGTGTCAAAAATGTTTCTTATTTTAGGGAAAATCAAAGTGTGGATTTTCAACAAGCTCACTTTTACCAGTATGTATGTCTTAAACAGCACAAGAATTACTAAATTATATTCCGCAGATCTGCTCTATGTTTAGTGGAGAGATGATCGCTATTAGAGAAGCTTTGCCTTGCATTGATTCAACGGAGAGTAACAAATGGGTCGTGGTAACGGACGCAAAGAGTGCAATTCTAGCCATAAAAAAGAAAACACCGACAACCACACTATTAAAAATATCCGGTGGAAACTAACAGAAAAGGGAAAGGAAATGATATTCATGTGGGTTCCTTCAGACTGAGGAATTGTCGGAAATGAACAGGCAGACAAAGCAGCAAGTATGGCGAGAAGGCTATAATTAACGAAATCCCGATAGAAGATTTTATATATCACATAAAAAAAAAATTGCGGGTAATGTGGCAGAACGTATGGCAACAAAAAGAAACCAAATTAAAAGGAATAAAAAGCCCCTGTTCCAAATGGAAAACTAGCAACCGACTCTCTAGAAAAGAAGAGAAAGTCCTCTGCCGCTTGAGAATTGGCTACTTACTAAGAGAACTAGACCCACCGACCTGCGAGAGCTGTAAGGTGCAAAGAACTGTCCAACACATCATTCAAGACTGCCCAGTATTTAAGAATGTACTGAAAAATCTCGATATGGCTCAGAGCCTAAAAGAAAATCTCGGTGACAACCAAAACGCCGTGGAGAAAAACCTTACAGTTTTTAAAAAAAATAAAGTTCTACAATAGAATATAAATAGGAAGTGTTGCCAATGATCTTGCAGGGTAGAGGCAACAATAAAAACAAATAAATAAATAATTTATATTTCTATTTACTGAAATGATAAATTATATTAATAACCAGATGGTCCAATATCAATACTTCATCAATTTTCTTCATGTTTTTTCTTTACGAGATTATTTTTCTAAAACAGATTTTCTCATAGATTTTATTCCCATACAGTAAATCATAGATCTAAAATATAGATAATTATACACCGATAGAAATGATGAATGTTGCTAAAGCGCTCACGTTCAATCTCCACTGGCTTTGACAACAGTGACGCGGTTGAGAGAGTAGCGCAGGGATCTCTTGTATTCTTGGTTTTCCCTCTAGAGTTGGAGGGACAAGCCGGACTAGGGGTTCCCTGCTTGATTGTATATATTGTATATAGGTATGACTGTGTTTTTAGTTATTTATCTTGAGGTTATTTTATTTTTCATTGTACATAGTTTTTGATTATTATTTTAATTTTGTGTTTTCTGTACATATGGCGTGAATTTTCATATCTCACTATAATAATTGCCGAAGTGACACATTGTTATATTTCTAAATAAATAAAAAAAAATAATATACTTGTGGTTTGTAAGCGGCGGCAACATTGAAGTATAGTCGTTAGAGTTAGCAAAAACTACCGAAGATCCCACTAGCTGGAATAGTTTTCCCGTCAGCACCAGTTCCAGTATGCTTCCTCATTATCGTAATAAATATAAACTAGTAGGTCCGGACGAAAAATTCGCACAGCATATTGTTATCAAATACCAAATTAATAAGAAAATAAAATAATGCAACGTATCAAAAGATAAAGGAATCAATTGTTACTTTATCCATAAATATAATCCACAAAGGAAACAAAATTAATTTAAATCTTCATTTCTGTTTGGAACCAACATATTTACAAATTTCAATAGGCTGTATCACTGCGAAAAATTGTCCAATTTCGATGACTTTTTTTTTCCTTGTGTAGACAATTTTGTAACGTTTTATACAATTTTTTTTTATTTCTATGAAAATTCGTATTTGAGGCTTTATAGAGGTGCGAAATACAAATCTCAACTCTGTTTTCCCTTAAAAAAAATATTTGAACCCACTTTCCTCCTTCGGTCAGTACAAATTATTTCATTGTCGTACTGATAATATAGCTATATGCCAAATATATAGTTATTTTCAAATAAAATGGGCTATAATAGAACTCTCCAATGAATATTAATCGAAAATACGAAAAAATAAATAATAAAATGAAAAACAAAAAATATTGGAAAAATTTCTAATCGATTTCGATGATTTTTTTTTTCCTTTTGTAGACAATTAGTAACGTTTTATATAATCATGGGAATAACCAAGGGAAAAGTGTGTAATTTTTTAGTTATTCGCAAATAAAGTTTCTTTTTTTTCATAACTTGTTTGCCTGAATTTTCGGGGTGATTGGAATATTTTTCCCGCCTGAAGGAGAAGGAAGCCTTCGAAATTGGTGGCTCAATCTTGAGATTTGGTGAAGAATTAACGATGATATGGCTTGCCGATCAAAAACACCATCGATAAATAATATAAACTCCTCCTGTCTCGATCATAGAGACCTCAAGTCGACGAAATGAGACATGTATCCAATGACAGTACTACAATTAACGTCAGGTTGTGTGGATGCGAACCCATGCCTTGCGTTATCTCGAAAATAGTACGTTTTTGGGCTTAAAAACGCAGGATCCGATAGTTCCGGAGGAACTATCCGGTCTTGCTGTACGCATCAAAATCTTCAAGGTCCAATTTGTCCCGCATCGATCTACAGACCTACCACCGTTCCAGTATTGAAGCCTAGCAAAATGTTTGTATCGACTTTATTTATTTTAGAAAGAAAAACAAAAGCGGAGAATACGATTCGCTAACCCCCGTGAAATTCTGAATCCAACGGTACCCCACCGCATTCGTGGTATTTGAGCATGACAGGAGCTTATATTTGGTACAAAACCGATTTCGAGCCTTACTGTAATAATATATGTACGGATAATAATGATAAATAAACTTATACCATATGATCGAGCCTGATAATCAATTTCACAGATAAAGAAGATGATTGAAGTAGTGATGTTTCTACACGAAACGTAGAAAGCAATTCCTTAAATCCAAGTAACAAGACCCATCTCATTCCATCCCTTACAGCGGTGTCACAGCTGAGCACACAAAGGGTCTTTTCAATAGATTTCTCCTGTGAGGTGGGACTCTGTTACAAAGAGCTAATAGCTTTCCAAAATGTAATATGTTAAAATATTTAATTAGTAGTATCTATAATTTTAACTGTCCCGATATAAAACTTTTTGGTAAAATTAATTATTTTAATATTTTTTTATATATTTACTAGTGGGGCACCCTCTGTCCGCCAAATAACAAATTACAAATTATACAACTGTTTATTTAATTGTAGTAATCGTTGTTAAAATCGTACAACTTTAATTTACATTTTTTCTGCAGTTCAGAGTGTATTATTTTTATCAACATAAAATTAACTGACCGAAACCATAGATCGGAAAATTTTTTTAATTATTTAAATTATATATTATACATCGCGCCTTATTGCCAATTTTTAACCATAATGTATACTCAACTTGTCCAGTTTCATGTAAGCCCAATAATAATTTAAGCCTATTATTTCTAATATTTTCATTGTTCGTTATATTGTGCTTCTTTTTCTATTTCATAATAATTATAATTATATCACAATATGATATAAATAATATTATATATAATATAATAATTAATTTATTGTAATCTGCTCCTTACTTTTGTCACTAACAAAATAATCCATAAAGACCTCAATGTTCCATATATTTCAGATTTGGCCAAATCCAGATACCTATCCTTCCATAATAAACTTCATAACCATCCGAATCCTCTAGTTTCTAACATTGCTTCCTCTTCGATTCCTGATAACCCTCCAAGGCGTCTGAAAAGAAGATGGCCTCGTGATCTTCTCATGTAGACAAATTATTAGAGTGCTACAAGTGGGTAGTTTCTCAACAAGCGTGTTTCATGTGATATTATTTCTCTGTACACATTTACTTGATGTATTCATACTAATACAGGTATAAATATCATAATAAAAGTTAAAAAAAAAATAATTTATTGTAGTCAAGGGGAAAATTGATGAATAAATACTATTTCCTGTTGAAAATTTTAGCCTAAAATCTTTATTTTGAATTAGGGGAGTATTAGGTAACAGGAGCTCAACACATGTGTAATTAAATGAACAGCTGTGTAATTACTGCTAATTATAGTGGTAATAGGAGGGCTCTTGTAACCACCAAGTTAGTAATAATAAAATAAAATAAAATATGGCATACACTAAATACTTCTTTATATAATAGAGAGATTATATTTGTACTTAGTGTATTTTTCTTGTATGTATTTTTTTGTAAAAAAGTAGTGATTTAGATGTTTATAAGCGATATTTTTCTAATAGACTTTAACATTTTTCTGACTCAGTGGTTGTAAAAAAATCATATATGTTTCGATCGAAAGAAATTATTTTAGGTGAGGAGATAAAGTAAAGCAAAATAAATTTGGAACATGTTTTTTTCGTAATATTTCTTCATGAAATTATATCTATATGTAGAGAGAGAGAGAGAGAGATTTTATATAGGAATATATATAGTTCATCCACAAACTTACAAATACCGCAAAAGTTTCTGCAAATTGGTCCTAATTTAGTTAATATATCGTTATACGATAAATGATTTACTGCCATGGAAGATTTTTTCTGAAAACTATGAATTCCTTGTTACTCTTTACTAGAAATAGTTTATCCCATAGTATAACGATGAAACTATAAAAATTTAGGAGAAATATTTAATCACGTTAAATTGTCCGAAAGACCTATTTAATCGAGTTGACGTCACAGTATTATATAAGCAAATTTTGAATGGATAGATTACCCTGGTATAATTAAATTTAAAAATTTTGACTTTTTTTAAAAATTCTATGATTTTCAGTTACGACTTTGTTGCATCCGATAAGCGATATGTTGTAGCAATGACACAATCCTAAAAATACACCAAAT